CCACTTAGCTGATATCCTACCTGAATGCACAGATAAACCCAGGGTTCTGTTCTAGTCACTTTTCTCCCTTCCCCTCCCTTCCTCTCCACTCCCTTCCTCTCCTTCCACCCCCTGCCCTTTTATTTTTATTTTTTAAATGTATGGAAGAAAACAAGCATTTCCATAACATAGTATAATAAAAAAAGATGATTGTACATTAAACTACAAATCTATTGTGTACAACTTGCTATTCCTTTTAAATATATATATTTGTTTTGCTTTCTTCCCCCCCACATGGCTATTATACACACACACACACACACACACACACACACACACACACACACACACACACACACACGTGTATTCTATACATACTTCTATTTAACAATTCTTTCTCTGGATGCAGATGGTATCTTTCTTCATATGTCCTTTATAGTTAATATAGGTGTTTATAATAGTCAAAATGACTTATTCACTCAGTCATTCTTGAAACAATATTGCTGTTACCATATATAATGTTTTCTTGGTTCTGTTCATTTCACTCTTCACTATTTCATGCAAGTCTTTCCATGTTTTTCTAAGATCATTCAGCTCATCATTTCTTATAGCACAATAGTAATCCATCACAATCATACACCACAACTTGTTCAGTCAGTTTCCAATTGACGGGCATCCCTTCAATTTCCACTTCTTTGCCACTACAAAGAGAGCTGCTATGAATATTTTAGAACATGTAAGTTCTTTTCCTTTTTCCATAATCATCTTTGGAAATCAACCAAGTAGTGGTATTGTTGGGTCAAAAGGTATAGACAATTTAATAACTCAAGGCATAATTCCAGATTGCTCTCCAAAATGGTTAGATCAATTCACAATTCCACCAACAATGAATTAGTGTACCAATTTTTCCACATCCCCTCCAACATTTATTGCTTTCCCTTTCAGTCATGTTAGGCAATCTGATAGGTATTTTTTTCTTCCTCTACTCCTTCCTCCTCTTTCTCTCATTTCTAATGATGTTATGAGAGTGATGAAAATGTCACTTTTTGACCCCAAAATCTTGCTGTTAGGCATATAATCCAAGGAAATCAAAGATGTAAAGAAATATTTAATCTTTTTTTTTTTTGTAGTAGCAAAGAACTGGAAAAAAGTAGATGCTTAAAGACTGTGGAATCTCTAAACAAAATATGGCGCATGAATGTAATGATACATCACTGTGCTATAAGAAACAACAAACACATGATAAATACGAAGAGGCATGGATAAATTTATATGAATTGATATGAAGGGAAGTAAAAAGAACCAGGAAAAATATGCACAATGACTAGAGCAATTTAATGGGAAGAACAACAGCAACAAATTATAATTCAAGTTTGTATTTTAATGACCAGCCTTGGTCCCAAAGAACAGATATAAGTGGGTACTTCTCTTTTCTCTTGAGAGGTGGGAGACTGTGGATATGGAATAATTGTCTGTACTTAAGGTTTAACTGATGCAATGGTTAATTTTGTTGAATTGCTTTTTCCTTTCTCTTTTAAAAAAAATATTTGATTTAAGGGATAGCTGTCTGGGTGAAGCAGGGGGAAGGATTTCTTGAAAAATAAATTTCTTAGAAGATAAAATAGAAAAAAAGATATTGGCAAGATTTTAAAAAATATATATCCTTAAATCTTTGTACATAAATTTCAGTTATTAATACCTAAAATCAAAGAGCTAACATTAGCAAAATCTACCCTTCACATATACACACTCAGCTGCTTTTGGAATAAAATCCTTTCTCCGTAGTCTAATATTGGAGAGGGCACCAGCATTTTGCTTCCTTTCTAGGCTTCTCTCCATAGTTTATTAGGTCTGGAAGGGAGCTTAGAGATTATCTAGTGAAATTCTCTTATTTTACAGATGAGTCATCTGAGGCTAAGAGAGGTAAGTGATTTGTCCACGGTGACATAGATTATTAATGACATACCTACTAATCAGAAATAATTACATCATCTGTCTTGGTCTCTCGCTGTCCCTCCCCACTGGGCATACAATGCGCATTCCACTCTCACACATTTCTTTTACCTAAACATCTCTTTTCACTCTTTTCCATTGATTCAAATCTTATTGATAGTGAAAGGAAAAAAATCCCTCCCCTCCTATAAGGCTTTCTAAGCACATACAGATTTCTATTGCCCTTGATATCATGTTACTTAATAGCTCATATTGCCTATTTGGTCTTTATATAGACACAGACATTTTTTCAATTGTTAATTATTTCTTTGAATGTTAATCTTCATATGTTTAAATTCTCTTTGTATAGAGGCCTTATAAGCTGCTTTAAGGCAGGGACTATATTTTTATTCTGTGTATACTTCACATCTAAGCACTGTGTCAAATGAATTTAAGGAGCATCTATTATGCACCTGGTATGTGCTGGGTCCTCTGTTCAGCACTGGGGCTATGAAATTGAAAAATAACCCTGTTTCTGCTCTCATGGGGCTTAAGGTGTAACTTAAGAGGATTACACATATGCAAAAATAGGTATGATAGCAAGAGGAATAGAATAAAATGTGCTCAAAGTACTTTTCATTAATCAATAAATCTTAATAAGCACCTACTAGGTGCAATGAACTCTATCTAGCATGATGTAGCATGACAGACATTCAAAAGTGGATAGAATAAGGACTCTTGCCCTCAAAGAATTTTTGTCTAGGTGAGGAGATAAAGTATGCATGCAATTTACATAACACAATGTGTGTTTCAAGGCAGAATGTGAAAGTACTATTAAGAGAACACAAAGTACTATCCATGTCTACTCACTGGAGAACTAGATTGTTTTTGCCTGAGAAGACCAAGACAGGCTTCTTGCAAAAGGGAGCAGTTTAGCTGGGCCTTGAAAAGATGGGTGTTTTTTGACTGAATTAATGAGATACTAGATGATGGAAAACAACTGCACTCTTGTCACCTCTTTCTGTCAACACTCTCATTTGGAAGCTCAAGTAAGTGACTGGACATACGGTAAATGTGTTTCTCACCACTGACGTCTTGACATAAGGATGGAGAAGGCCTGAAGGCCCAATTCTACATCTGGCCCCTCCACCGTGTCAGCCACTTTGTAACTTAAGCCATGGACGTATAGTCAATTGATTACTCGATAAGTATGAGAACCATTTTGTGCCACCTTGCTCATCAAGAATTGATTTCATTGATTTCACTCTGAACTTTCTGTAAGTAGGGCAGGCCAGAAACAACAGTCTATAGGCTGGTCACAAAGACAGACAACTAATTGAATTCTCTGTTTTTGAAAGGACATTGACAAGCTTAGCTACATCTAGATAAGGATGGCCTTCTGAGAGTAATTAAATGTACAAATAAAATACAGAAGATTTCAAAAGAATCCAATTATATTGAAATAGTTATAGATTTGTTTTAAGTTCATGGACCTCAGATTAAGAATCCCTGCTCAAGATAGATGGAACAGCCTCCAGATGCTCTTGTTTGAGAGTGACACTATACTGATTACATCATTATATACTGAGATACTGTATAGTCTCCTAAATGAGATCTGCAATTACTCAAAGTTGTTCAGCCTTACTATCCACATAGGGAAAACAAAATGGATGATGAATATTTATTGTCCAGACTATGCCATGAAGTAAGATGCAAAACCTAAAGAGCTGGTTCAACAATATATATGTTTAGGCAGACTTTAGACATCAGGACATATGTGTGTATGTATGTATGTATGTATGTATGTATGTATGTTTATATATGTGTGTATATATGTGTATATATACACACATATACACACACACACACACACATACACACATACAGGGTTCACTGCACCTAGTAGGTACTTATTAAAGATTTATTGATAAATGGAAAATATTTTGAGCATATTTTATTCTATTCCCTTTGCTATCATACCTATTTTTGTATGTGTGTATCCTCTTAAGTTATACCTTAAGCTCCATGACAGCATGTGTATACACACATATACACACACATATATGCATACGTATATACACAAATATACACATGTGCACATCTGTTTGTGTATATACATATATGCATATATATATATACATATATATATATATGTATATATATAACATATTTTAGGACAAATAACAGGATAAAATATGAATAGGAGAAGAAGATGGAATTGAATTATCTTTGGGGAATGGGACAGTAATTTTAATGGACCATATTTTTAAATATCTATATTCTTCTGGTGAGGCTATATGGCTATGGGTCATAGAATACCACAGTCTCTGAAGAACTAAAAATATCACATAAAAGGCAATAGAGAGAGGCATGAATAGACTGCAATATATTATCAGTGAAGAACTGTGCTGGAAGGTAGGGTAAAGTATACCATTAGAGAAATGAACAGAAAAGGAATGAGGCCAATCATGTGTCTAGAGTGGGTGATAACTAATTAAAAGCCAATGTGTTCTAATTATAGCCATGTAATATCAAGAAACATAGAAGATGACCTCCCCAGGATTCTGGGAGGACCCCTAAGTAGAAGATTTAGTGAGATGCAAGGACAATAGCTACAGGGTAAGAAGTGGGTAAGTCGCAATTTGCACCACTGAAAGGAGTACTCATATGACCTATGGATCTATGTACTCATTAAAGCAAAAATGAAATTTAAGGTTTACTAAACATGGGACTTGTAATGACAGCAATCCTGTGTTCTGGTCCCATGTCCAGCGCTGATTATTTGTGTGATGTTAGACAAGTTATTTCACACTCTCTAGACCTCAGTTTCCTCACCTGGAAATTGTGAATGACAATATTGGCACACTCCAGGTCATAGGGTTGTTGTGAAGGAGGCTCTTTGTAAACCCTCAAGAGCTTTAGACATGTGATACATAGTCTCCAATAGTAATGACTGAATATAATGTAGGTCTCCATGGTAAATTCTTCCCTTCCCTCACTGCTACTGTGAACCTTTTTCGATCCAATAGATCATGTTAATGCCAAAGTCTGAATGATTTAGAAGGAATAAATGATCACATGCTACTTACAGGAATTCCAGGTAATCCAGGTGGGCCTTGGGGACCAGGAGGACCATCTTTACCCTGGAAAAGATCCGAGATGCAGCTGCATTATTTTCACATTGCTATGACTTTCTAGAGAAGAATGATTTCAGCACATTAAGGTCATAGGCACTTTAGGAACAAATGTTTGGAAATGCATTTGATTGAGAGCTTATGACACTCCTGAAATCCCCATGGCCAGAGTGGACTAGTGTAATAGCCTACTGGTTGGCCTCTGTGCCTCAAGTCTCTCCCTACTGCAATCCATCCTCCACTCAGTTATCAAATTAATGTTCCTAAAGTGCATATCTGATCATATCCAATAAACTCCAGAGTCAAATATAAAATCCACTGTTTGGCATTCAAAGCCCTTCACAACCTGACCCCCTCCTACCTTCCTAGTCTTCTCATACTCTACTCCCCACCACATAATTTGTGATCAATGACATTGGTCTCCTTGCTATTCCTTGAATGAGACATTCCATTTTTTTTCCTTTTTTTTGGCTAGGCAATGCGATTAAGTGACTTGCCCAGGGAGATGTAACAGCTAGTAAGTGTTATGTGTCTGAGGCCAGATTTCAATTCAGGTCCTCCTGACCCCAGGGCCAGTGCTCTATCCACTGCGCAACCTAGCTGCCCCAAGACACTCCATTTTCATACTAAACATTTTCATTGGCTGTCCCCTATGCATGGAATACTCTCCTTCCTCATTTCCACCTCCAGGCTCCCCTGGCTTCGTTTAAGTCTCAGCTAAAGTGCCACCTTTTACAGGAAGCCTTTCCCAACCCCTAAATTCTGCTGCCTTTCCTCTGAGACAATATCCAAGTCCTGAGTATAACTTATTTTTACATAGTTGCTTGTATATCATCTCCTTCATTAGAGTATGGGATTGTCTTCATGTTCCCAGTGCTTAGCACAGTGCATGACATATAACACAGTGACAAAAGTGAGGACATTATAGCCAAAAGGTTTCTAAGAAAAGGTCCATAATAGAATTACTGCATCTCTGAGATGGAATTGAGGGTGGGGAAGAAGAGGGACTGTAGAACCAGGACAAGTCATATTTGGATAAGAATTTCCAGTAAAGATAGATAGCATCCTTAAAAAAAAAAAAGTCTGGAATGGCTAGGCCACCTTCCCCTGCATTTCTTTTCATTAGTTCCCTTGATATTCTGGACCTTTTGTTATTCCAACTGAATCTTGTTATTATTTTTTCTAGCTTTATAAAATATTTTTGGTAGTTTAATTGGTATGGCACTGAATAAATAAACTAGCTTATGTAGAATTGTTATTATATTAGTTCAGCCTACCCATGAGCAACTGATATTTTTCTAATTATTTAGGTCTGACTTTATTTGTGTGAAAAGTGCTTTGTAATTGTGTTCATATATATAGTTCCTGGGTTTGGATAGGTAGATTCCTAAATATTTTGTAATGTCTACAGTAACTTTGAATGGAATTTCTTTTTCTATCTCTTGTTGTTGTGCTTTGTTGGTAATATAAAAAAGGGCAATGATTTACGTGGGTTTATTTTATAGCCTGCAACTTTGCTAAAGTTGTTTATTATTTCAAGTAGTTTTTTACTTGATTCTCTAGGATTCTCTAAGTATATCATCTGCAAAGAGTGATAGCTTTGTTTCTTCTTTGCCTATTCTAATACCTTCAATTTCTTTTTCTTCTCTTATTGCTAAAGCTAAGGTTTCCAGTATGATATTGAGCAACAGTGTGATAAAGGACATCCTTGTTTCACCCCCGATCTTACTGGGAATGCTTTTAGCTTGTCCCCATTACATATGATGTTTGCTGAAGGTTTTAGGTAGATGCTACTTATTATTTTAAGGAAGACTCCATTTATTCCTATACTCTCTAGTGTTTTTAATAGGGATGGATGTTGCATTTTGTCAAAAGCTTTTTCTGCATCTATTGAGATGATCATGTGGTTTCTGTTAGTTTTGGTGTTGATATGATCAATTATGCTCATAGTTTTCCTAATATTGAACCAGCCCTGAGTTCCTGGTATAAATTGATAGACTTAGCCCTTCTCAGCCATGCAAGGATTTAAGACATCTCCCAAGATCTCATGATGGAAAATGCTATCCACATCCAAAGAAAGAACGATGGGGTTTGAATGCAGATTGAAGCATACTATTTGCTCTTTTTTTCTTCTGTTTTGTTTTGTTTCCTCTTTCTGGTGGTTCTTCCTATTGGTTCTAATTCTTCCTTACAATGTCACTAATGTGAAAATATTTTTAATAGAAATGTATATGTAGAGCCTATATCAGATTGTGCTCCATCTTGGGGAGGAAGGTGGGGAGGGAGAGGGAGAAAAATTTAAAACTCATAAGCTTATGAAAGTGATTGTTGATAAATCAAAATAAATTAATAAAAAAATTAAAAATAGATGGAGAAGAAAAAAAAGTCATCTAGCTATACCTGAAGACTATCAGTTTTGAGGAACCCATTTATTCTGTAGGCAGTCCACTGTACTCTTGGAAAGCAGTGATTGTTAGACTTTTTTTCTTTCTATCAAGCCTGGATCTGCCTCACTGGAATTCCAACCCATCATCCCTCCATTGTGCCTGCTTGAGATATGAAAAAACAAGACTATTCCATCTTCTACCTGACAAACCTTCAGGTAATTGAATGTGGATATAATGTCACCCCTAAGCTCTCTTCTCCACAGTAAATATCTCTCTTCTTTCAACCAGTCTTCATGGGGTAGGGAATCCAGTTTCCTCACTATTCTTGTTGTCCCACTCTTGGCATGCTCTAGCTTATCAGTATCTTTCCTAAAATATGTCTTCCATATATAAACATCATACTATCAATGTAGTACAACCAAGGCAGATAGTAATAGGACCATCATCTCTAATAGTTGTATTTTTTTTTTTTAGGTCTGGATCTGTGACTTCATCAGATTAGGAAGTTCCCAGTGAGAAAGTTCTTACTAGTCCTTGATTTGCACTTAGGCAACTCATTGGCAGTTTATAGGCTTAAGGAATTTACTGGAGAATTAGAGCTACTCACTCACTTTACAGATAAAGGAACTGGGGACCAGAAAGATTAAATGATTTGTTATAGATCACCCAGGTTTTTAAGTAGCAGAGCCAGGTTTCAGGATCTTCAACCAGATCCTCTGAATTCAAATCCATCTTGCTTTGCATTGTACTATACTAAATTGAATTAAACAAAGACATCTTCCTTGACCCTAGTCAGAAAGGTAAATTAGAGCTAGATTATGGCAGGCTTTGAATGCCAAGATTAGCATATATTCATGTTTTACTTGGCAGGAAAAGTGGTGTTTTTCAAGGTTTTGGAGTAAAGAAGGGATATCTTCAGACTTGTGTATTAGGAAGATTGAATGGGCTATGAATTGTGGTGTGTGGGAGGAATTAGAGGATGGAAAGACCAGAGGCAGAGGGATCATTTTCATAGGTGTTGTATTATTTCTGATTAGAGGGGATGAGAAATTGAACTAGGGTGATGGCAGCAGTACTGGATGGAGGTGATGGAAGGGAGAGATGTTATTGAAGCAGAATGGATGGAATTTAGTGATTCATTCAACATGACTGTTTTTCAGACTAGGACAGGCTCAGCAGTGGAAAGCTTACTGTTACTCCTGGGCTTCCTGGTGGGCCGGCAGGTCCTGAGGCACCAACTGTCCCCTAAGGAAACAAAAAACCAGCACAGAGAACATATGAAGATTTCCTCCAACAGCCTTGCTGACATGCTTAGTCACAGCAGCTGAAAGACAATCAAGTCTTCTGTTCCTTCACAGCAGTGGACAAACATGGCCCAGTAAGTCACCTACCCCTCAGATCCATGCTGGAGAACAGATTACTGGAATAGGAAGTCCAAACACATCCACTCTTCCGTCTAGCAGCCAGACAGAATAAAGCTGAAAATAATAGCTAAAAAGGGAAGCAGGTTCTATTCCAATAACAACAACTGGCATGCAGTCAATAGAACAATAACAATTCTACCAGCTTCCATTGAAATCCTTCTTTGCTGTCCCTCATGGTATGGATGAGACGTGGGGTCAGCCAGCCCAACACAAGCTCAGGCAGGGCTGTAAAGGCTTTGAATAGGGCCTGGCAATGTGTCCATCACATGAAGACCAGCCTAGCTAACTGAGGAGAGCTTTAGGACCAGGTGATGGATTTCTTGGCCACAACAACTCATTAAATCATTGTCAGGGGAACGCAGAGATCAGGACATGCATAGGTAGAGAAAAAATGCCTACAAGGACAAAATCACAATTTTTTAAGGCTTTAAACTAATAGAAAGAGAGGTTTATAGGATTATAAGGGAATTTAGAGACTTTTTAGTACAATGCCCTCTGCCCTACAGATGAGGAAACTGAGGTCCAGGGGTGCTAATGGGTACTACCCATATAGTAAATTGTCAAAGCTGGAATTTTAACCCAGGTCCTCAGATTTTAGAGTCTCATCCCCACCCCCACTGTATCACACACTAGACAGTTTACAAAGCATCCCAACATATACTATCTCATGTAATCCTCACAATTCTATGAGTTCAATAGCGCAAGTATTTCACCCATTTTATGGATGAAGAAATTAGAGTCCAGCTATGCTAAATAATGTCTTTCATAAAAGTGAGCAATCACTCAAGACTATGCAGGTAGCAGCCTCCCAACAGCTCTCTAGAAAATAAGCAAATAAATAGAAATGACAGCATTCTAGCTCTTGAATATTCAACAGAAGAACCTGGTTTTCATTACCAGAGAAAAAATAGCAGTGAAGAAAATGTCTCTCTAGCAGGCCGAGACCACAAGAACAAAAGGGCTGAGTGGCCAGGGCATCACAGAGTGAGAGACCAAGAAAAATCATGGAGCCATGAGTCAGGCTTTCTCAAGGACACATGGTCTTTAACTGCCAGAGGGAGGCAGTGGCCCCATGAGCTGGGCACATTGATTGGTTTGCAGAATTTAGAGCTGCCAGAAACCTTTATCAGAGCCCTTGGTCAGAGCCTACTGTCAGAGTGCTCCCCCAAAACCCAGCTTATTTTACAGGATGCCTTTAGGCCAGATGATGGGGAGGAGGGGTGGACATTAAGAGACATAAGTGTCAAGGGAGCTAAGGGGACTAACCATTTGGACATGTCACTCAGATGGCTGCCTGGCTGGGTGACTTGTAGTCTGCCTCTTAGAAGATGGAGGGGTGATGAATGAATTCCAATCATAATTATGTGTGCAGACTCCTTGAGAGCAGGGATGATTTCATTTGTCTTGGTACTCTCAGTGCCCAGCATAGTCCTTTGCATATAGTAAGTGCTTAATAGAGGCCCTCTGAATTTAAAGTCCTGACTCATTTATCTGAAATGAACCTTAAACAGCAAGCATCTAGTTCAGCCTCTACTTTGAATATGGGGAAACGGAGGCTCAGAAAAGAGCACATGACTTGTCCCACATTAGTAAGTGGAAAAACCTGGGCTCCCCTCTAGTCCAAGCCAAATTCCAACTTCAAAAAAGGTCTTTCTGCCTTAAGTAATTTTCCAGTCTTGTGTAATTTAGAGCCTGAATGGTGTCCACTCGTGGAGTTAGAACGTAGCCAGTTGCATCCCAACTATATCGGTGACTAATGATATAAGCCTGGGCAAGTTCTTTACTACAATTGTACCTGGCATGTAGGAAGTGCTTAATAAACACCGAGCCCACTGTGTGCAAAATTGTACTTGAAAGAGCTTTGCAGGGAGAATAAAAATAAATGGGTTTATGTCACAGCTTTGTGACTTACTAGGTGACACCAAGTAAAAGCTCCTATTCATAGTGGTGGATACAATCTTCATAGCTCAGTTTCCTCAACTATAAAAAGGACATTATAATCCACGGTCTAACTTGTCTACCTGACAGGACTGTGAGGAATAAATGAAAAGATCAAGTTTTTATATACTACACACACACACACACATACACACACCTACTTTATATACTACATGTATGTTTTATATACTACATATATAATATGTATACTTTATATATACTATGTGTACTTTATATATGTTTATATATACATATATTATATATACTTTATAAACCATATCTTTATATACTATAAATATAACGTGAGGTAATTGTTTTCTTTTTATTATTAAAATTACATTGCTAATTCTAATAATAATAAGTTACATCAGTAATTCTAATAATAATAGCTAGCATTTACATAACACTTTAAAGTTTGCAAAGTATTTTACAGATATTATCTCATTTAATCCTCACAACAACCCTGGGGCATGGGTACTATTACTATCCTCACTTTAAAGATAAGGGAACTGAGGAAGATAGGTTGTCACATAGCTAAGAAGTATCTGAGGTTGCACTTGAACTCAGGTCTTCCTGACCCCAGGGCTGGCACTCTATCTATGGCACTGTCTAGCAGCCATATGATGCTGGGCAATTCATTTAAATTATTTAGGCATCAGTTTTCTCATCTATAAAGTGAGGTATTAGGGCTCAATGTCTTCTAAGGTACTTTCCTGCTCTAAATCTGAATTATTAAATGACAGTTAATAAACTTTTATTGAGCATCTAATATGTGCCAGGCATTGTGCTAAGTGCTTATAATCTAATGGGGAAGACAACACACAAAGGAAAGCTGAAAGAGTGGTGGTGGGAGAAGTACCTTGTGAGGGGGCATGCGAGAGAGTTCTAGAGAAGCCCAAAAGCAGTATAGCTAGTAGAAAACGGAGAGAAAATCTGTGCTAAGCTCTCTCCTTAAATAGAGAGGTTGCAATCTGTATTGGGGGAAGGTCTTCACACACTGAGTGCTTCAAAAATTGATGACATCACAGATTCTCTGCATATTCCCAATGCCTACCACTGGATCTTATGCTTTGTAAGTTCTTAATTCAATTTTGATGAATTGAAGTTAATGATCTAATCCAGGCTCTGCCTCTAACTTACCATATGACCTTAGGCCAGTCCCTTGACTTTTCTGGCCCTCATACTCCTCATCCTTGAAAGAAGGGGATTCTACTGAATGACTTCTGGGATCCTCTCTAGCTCTAAAACATAATGAGTGATTGATCAGTGTCCAACTAGAAGCACTGAATTTCCCTTATGGATCTGGTGCTGATTATACCTTGTGGCTTTTTTCTGGCTAAGGCTCTGGTTTCAACCTAATTCATAAAGATACAAATAAGGATACTCATATTTATTCAGCAATTTAGAATTTACAAAGTTTTATCCTCACATCTACCCTATGAAGTAGGCATCAAAATAATTTTATGGATAGAAACAAAGGATTGGAGTAGATTGTGGAATTTATAAGGGCCAGTGAATTAGCCAGAGCTTGAATCTAAGTCCCTACTTCCCTTTCCTTTCTGCCATTTTGCCTCTAGAATGGAACTTCTTTCTCTTCTAACTCAAGTAGCCAAGTTTCTTGCCATCCGGAAAGAAGGTAGGGGAATGTGGCTCCCACGTACAGAAGATATGTGAAGTCTGAAAAGAATAGTGACCACACTGAGAAATGAGCAAGATGGGACATGTACAATTTCTTAGACCTTTGGGGACCCATAAAGAACCTTAGGGAAATATACACTGGAAATGATTGGAGAGGAGCTAGAGGTGCTGATGCTGTACTCTGTTCTCTGTTGCTATGGCTACAATTGATGAATACCATGAATCATTTGAAATAAATGAGATGTAATTCACAGAGGAAGAGCACAAGTGATCTATAGAAGAAAAGAGGCCAGCACACAAGGGCAGAAGAGGCAAACTAGAATGTGGCCATTAGCTGGAGCAGTTTACTGTTTATTTCAAGGTCAAAATGTCAAAACGTGGAAGGAGATCATTCACACGCTTCTGATGGAAATAGACAGTCATCATTCCTTACATTTGCATAGTGTTTCATGGAGTATGAAGTGCTTTCCCAGAAATGATCTCATTTGATCTCTACCACAATCTGATTAGCAAACTATAATAGTGATAAGTATAGCTCATGTTTGTAGAGTATTTTATAGTTTACAGAGCTCTTCCTTCACAAGAATTTTGTGAGGCAGGCAGTGTATTAATATCCTTGTTTTTCAGATTAAAAAAACAAGGTTCAGAAAGAGTTAAAAAGTCAATCAATAAGTATTTATTAATCATTCACTATGTACCAGGAAATGTGCTAATCAAAGATTTCAAGGTGAAAGTGATCTAGGGTGATCTTATCTCATCTTAACCTCATGTTATAGATGAGGAAATTGAATTCTCAAGAGGCTGTGTCTAGGCCAGGGTCAAATGGGTAGATATCATAGGAAAGGTAATGAACTTGAAGTCAGAGTGCCTGGTTTTGAATCTCAATGGCAGCGGTGCCACTTACTAGATGTATGATTTAGGACAAACCTCTTTCCTCCTCTGGCCCTCAATTTCCTTGTCTGTGAGATGAGACTTTGCTGAGATGACAGCTAAGTCTCTTCTAGCTCTGATGTTATATAATTCCATCAGTTGTGTCCAGTGAGTTGGTGGTAAAAATGGAACTAAGACCCAGGTCTTCTGACTCTGAATGCTCTAATTAATGCTGCTTCTCATTGTGAGGAAATGTGACCAGAGCATTCTGAATGTGAAGAGAGGCGTGAGGGTCAGACCATAGGACTAGATTTGATAAGCCTAGGATACCTGGCAGTGATTTGTCACCACAGACTTTCAAAGGCCAGAGAGGATATTACTCCATGTTCTGTAGTCATGTAATAGGGAGTGAAGCCATTAATCGGTATTGTTTTTGAAACACTGAAATTGGGAGGAGGCAGAATGAGATGACATGGATAGACAGGCGATAAGTGGAAAGGTCGTAGAAGAAACTCAGGATCAAGAATTAAGAAGGGAATGATGCTGAGATAGGCTGAGGATGGAGGTTTCATGAATTATTTCACTGGAGTTAGAAGAAGACAAAAGAAGAGAAGAGAACAGAGGTTCCTTTTTTTTTTTCATCATAGACCCCTTTATCAGTTTGGTGAAGTCTATGGACCCCTTCTCAAAACAACATTTTTAAGTAATTGAAGGAAATAATAAGTTTTAATTATAGCTTAGGAGAAATAAAGAAGCTCCCCACTCAAGTTCATGAATGTCTTGAAAACCATGAACTCCAGTTTAAGAATCTCTGGTGGTAATGAGGTAGGGGTAGGATTGGAGGAGGAAGAGAAAGAAGAAAAGGAGAAAGAGAAGGTGGAGAAGGAGGTGTCCCATCTCATTCTAATTCCCACTGAAATCAAAACTGTTGATTTAGTTCATACTTTACTAATGCTAGTGTTCTCTTGTACATAGGGGGAATATTATGATTGTTTAAAGACTTAAAGGTTGTTACAACCACTGGACTTAGAAGTTCTAAGTCCCAACTCTGCCACTAATTACCTGTCTTTGACCTTGGTCAAGGTACTGCTCTCTAGGTATCAGATTCCTTATTTTAAAAATCAAGACATTGGACTAACACTGACCTTGGAGGGAGAGGACCTCATTCATACTCTGACACTTAACATCAGTGTCACCTCAGAAAAGTCATTTAACCTTTCCTGGGCCTCAATTACCTCATCTGTAAAATAAGGAGGTTGGAAAAGACCATCTCTGAGGTTCCTTATGGTTCTAGATTTATGATCTTATGACTAGAGGATCTCCATGGTACCTTCCAATTCAAAATCCCATGAAATACCCAAAGAAGTCTCTATTCCTAAGCTATTCAAATGTGGCTCTTTCTTTTGTTTTTCACTTTCAGATTCTTCTATAACTTTCCTTCCATTCCTTTTCAGTCCATTCCCCTCAATCTGCCTCCAACCAATGCAGATTGTCTACAGCACTGTCCAGAGACAAGGCCAAGTGGAGATCTTGAACATCACACCAGAGACTGAGAAGGGAAGGGAGGAATTTAAGATGATCTTGTAAAGCAGTGAGATAAAAATTCAACAATAACAATAAAACTACTTACAGGTGGCCCTGGATCCCCAGCTGGTCCCATGAAACCAGGAACTCCAGGATGACCCTAGGGGTAGGGTGGGAGAAAGGGAGAAACAGTAGAAATATTAGAGTTTTTCTGTATTCATTCATTCATTCATTCATTCATTCATTCATTCATTCATTCATTTTTCATATGTTTTATAGATTCATACAATCACAGTACTAGAAGACACTTCAGAAGTCATGGAACCCAATCTGTGCCAGAGGTAAGAATTATCCATTATGACTGAGGACAGATTTGTAACCAAAAGTTTATCAAACAGGTGATACATTTCTTGGCTAGCACAGCCCATTAAACCATCTACTGAAGTATGAGGAGATTGGGATCTGTAGAAGTAGAAAATAAATCACATGAATGAAACCACAAATCCTTAAAAAAAACACCTGTTTCTAGTAATGAGTTTGGAGGTTGGATTAATTGTCTTCTAAGGCTGATTCCAACTTTTTAGCGTCTATGCTTCTATGAATGAGAATTACTTCAATGTTTCACAAAATCTGTTATTTCACTGGCACACATAACAACCCCTACATACCTTAGTGATTGGTGACAGGACAAATATAATTGTCTGCTCACTAAATTCTGGTGATAAGCCTTTAAATGTAGCTTGTCTGGTCCTTGGGTGACAAACCTGGGTGTCTACTGAATCTTTCCAGTTTGGAAAAGACTTGCCAGAAATTTTGTCCTCTATTTTAGACTCAGGGAGCATAGGGTCACCTTCACACTATGATGGAGCAGTATAATAGAATATTATTGGTGGATAAATAAAGAATAAGATGTACATATGTGTAAAAATGTGTATATAAAATATACGTACCTGTATAAATAGAAAAATAATTTGTGTATATAAATATAAAATAAAATATCTATATACACAAGTATATTTATGTATACATAAATAGATTCATGTATCTATGTGTATACATAGGCAAGAGAGGAGGTATGCAACATGAATTACATGAATTACTGAATTACTGATAGGTAGGTAATAATATGAGTGATTCATAGTCTGACCTCACCAGCATAGAACTTGAAAGGAAGTATTCCATTTGTGACAAAGATAACTGTCTGATGAGTCATGTTTATAGTTTGTGGGATTGAACTGAATTGAATTGAGAACTGTATCAAGTAACTGGGGATTTTTTATGTCTTTAATAAATATCATTTTGACAGACAGAGGGCAGATTAAGCCAGAAAATTCAACAGAATTGGAGAGGAAGTTCCTTGTAGGAAAAGATAATTTCTTGGAGCATCTTTGGAGATAGGCAAACAGTGGAAAGGAGAATAGGCATGGAAGATTTTTAAGCTGGAAAGTGAGTAAATAGCTATTTTTATTCCTGACTTAGCCAAAGGAAGTTATCCTTTAAGGAAGAAATTGGGAAAGTAGTTTTGTGGGTGAGGACAGTAATATTAATGATGCCTGGGAATGAATGGGAAATTAGGAAGGAAATAGGTTATTACCTGTTCACCTTTTTGTCCAATCTCACCATCTGCTCCAGGTTCTCCTTTAGTGCCCTAAAGGGAAATAGAAAACCATTAGTGATTTTTTTTTTACTAGAACTACTCTAGATATACACAGGTAACTGATCTGCTAAAATGCTCCCTTCTCCTCACCAAAGGGATACACCAACCAAAATCAAAACCAAAATGAAAAAAACTCAGAAAAAAATTTATAAGGCCCTATATCGAAGCACCATTGGTGGTGGTGGTGGGGGTGGGTTATTTAAGATTCAAGTCAATTCATTTCAAGAAGCACTTATTCAGTATTCCCTTTTCCTCACCAAAAGGACAAATATAAACCAACCAAAACCAAAAATGAAACCAAAACAAAAACCTCTGAAAAAAAAAAGTATAAAGTATCTACCAGGAGCTGGGCACTAAGAATATAAAATAAGAGAAAACAAAACAAAAAAAAACAGCTTGGAACTTCTAGCAACTTACATTTTACCAAATTTATGCAAATAAAAAAATGCAATATAATTTGCAGAGGGGGAGGTAAAGCCAAGATGGCGGAGTAAAGGTAGGGATTCCCCTGAGCTTTCCCCCAATCCCTTTCAAATACCTTTAAATAATGACTCTAAACCAATTCTAGAGTGACAGAACCCACAAAAAGATGGAATGAAACAATTTTCTAGCTCAACTCAACTTAGAAGGTCAGCAGGAAAGATGTGGTGCACCAGAGTGACAGAGGATCGTGGACCAGTTCAGTCTACGCTAGGGTGGACTGTGCCCCAGCAAACTGGAAGCAGGCCTCCAGAGTGACTGAATCTGTGGCAGCAGTGGCAGTTTACTGACCTCTTAGCCCACAGGAGGCAAGGGGGGCTGGACAACTGGTCAGAAAGAGATTTATTGTGGTCCCAATACTGGTACCAGGCACAAGACTCTATTGAATTGCCTTCTACTTGAATCTGGGCCTCAGTCGTAGGTGGCAGTCCCAAGGTGAGGAGAAGCACTAGAATAGCAGAGTTTGTGGCAGCAGTAGAGAGGAAACCCTCTTTACAGTTCCAGGGCAGAAAAGAATGCTTGTGGTCACTCACAGACCAGAGCACAGGCCAGGAAAGGAATAAACACCTCACCCTTGATCATATCAACTTGGAAGAACTGAAAATTGACAGGTCCCTAGAAGTATCTCTGAAAACACCTGCACAAAACCCCTGAAGCTTGGGACAGTACATTTTCCACAATGGAAGCAGACCCTTACATTAACAAAGAGTTTATAACTCAACTAATTGGCTGGAATCATAAACAAACAAAGGCACAAAAGAATCTTTGGTGACAAAGAAGATCAAAACATAAAAATAGAAGAAGACAACAAAGTCAAAGCCCCTACATCCAATGCCTCCAAGAAAACTATGAATTGGTCCCAGGCCTCAAAAAGGATTTTGAAAAGCAAGTAAGAGAAACAGGAAAAACTGGAAAGAGAAATAAGAATGATGCAAGAAAATTATGAAAAACTAGTCAACAGCTTGCTAAGGGGAGACCCAAAAAAATACTGAAGAAAATAGCATCTTAAAAATAGCCTAACCCAAATGGGAAAAGAGGTCCAAAAAGCCAATGAAGAGAAGAATGCCTTAAAAAGCAGAATTGGCCAGATGGAAGAGGAAGTTCAAAAGCTCACTGAAGAAAATACTTCCTTAAAAATTAGAATGGAGTAAAAGGAAGCTAGTGACTTTATGAGAAATCAAGACATTGTAAAACAAAACCAAAAGAATGAAAAAATAGAAAACAATGTGAAATATCTCATTGGAAAAACAACTACCTGGAAACTAGACCCAGGAGAGAGGATTTAAAAATTCTTGGACTATTTGAAAGCCATAATCAAAAAAAAAAGAACCTAGATATCATCTTTCAAGAAATTATCAAGGAAAACTGCCCTGATATTCTAGAACCAGAGGGCAAAATACAATGGAAAGAATCCACCAATCACCTCCTGAAAGAGATCCCCAAAGGAAAACTCCTAGGAATATTGTAGCCAAATTCCAGAGTTCCCAGGTCAAGGAGAAAATATTGCAAGCAGCCAGAAAGAAACAATTCAAGTATTGTGGAAACACAATCAGGATAATACAAGATTTAACAACTTCTAAGGGACTGTAGGGCTTGGAACATAATACTCCAGAGGTCAAAGGAGATAGGATTACAACCAAGAATCACCTACCAATGAAAACTGGGTATAATCCTTCAGGGAAAAAAATGGAAATTCAGTGAAATAGAGAACTTTCAAGCATTCTTGATGAAAAGCCCAGAGCTGAATAGAAAATTTGACTTTCAAATATAAGACTCAAGAGAAACATGAAAAGGTAAACATGAAAGAGAAATCATAAGGGATTTATTAAGGTTGAATTGTTCATATTCCTACACGGAAAGATGGTATTTGTAACCCCATGAGACGCCAGTATTAGGGCAGTTGGAGGGAAAAATTATATTTATATAATGGATAGATAGATAGATAGATAAATAGATAGACAGATAGAGATTACAGGGTGAGTTGAAGATGAAGGGGTGATATCTGGAGAATAAAATTAAGGGATAAGAGAGGATTATACTGGGAGAAGGAGAAAGGGGGAGGTAGAATGGGGTAATAATCTTGCATAAAACAGAAAAGAAAAGGGTTTTACAGTGGAGGGGAATCAGGGGAAGGTGAGAGGGAATGAGTGAATCTTACACTCATCAGATTGGCTTAAGGAGGGAATAACATACACACTCAATTGGGTATGGAAATCTATCTTACCCTACAAGAAAGTAGGGGGAAAGGGGACAAGAGAGCAGGGAGATGATAGAGGGGAGGGCAGATTGGGGGAGGGGGTAATCAGAGGCAAACACTTTTAAGGAGGGACAGGGTCAAAAGGAGAATAGAATAAATGGGGGGGGGATAGGATGAAAGGAAATATAGTCAGTTTTTCCACAACATGACTACTATGGAAATGTTTTGCATGACTACACATGTATAAACTGTATCAAGTTGCTTGCTTTCTCAGTGAGGGTAGGTGGGGAGGGAGGATGGGAGAGAATTTGGAACTCAAAGTTTTAAAAACAAATGTTAAAAATTGTTTTCACATGCAACTGGGAAATAAGATATACAGGCAATGGGGTATAGAAATCTATCCTGCCCTACAGGAAAATAGAAGGGGAAGGGCATAAGAGAAGCAGGGGAGACAGAAGGGAGGGCAGATTAGGGAAAGGGGTATTCAGAATGCATGCCATCTTACGGTAGGGGGAGGGACGAGATGGGGAAAAAATTTGGAACTCAAAATCTTGTGGAAGTAAATGTTGAAAACTAAATTTTTTTTTTAAAGTAGAACTGGTTAAACGGAAAGGGAGGTCCTAAAGCTCACTGAAGAAAATAATTCCTTAAAAATTAAAATGGAGCAAATGGAATCTAATGGCTCTACAAGAAATCATAAAACAAAACCAAAAGAATGAAAAAATAGAAGACAATGTGAAATATATCATTGGAAAAAACAACTGACCTGGAAAATAAACCCAGAAGAAACAATTTTAAAATTATTGGACTACCTGAATGCCATGATCAAAAAAAGAACAGTGGAAGAGGGGGGAGGTGAGAGGGAATGAGTGAACTTTACTCTCATCAGATTTGGCTTAAGAAGGGAACATCATACACACTTAATTGGGTATGGAAATCTATCTTACCCAACAGGAAAGTAGGGGGGAAGGGGATAAGAAAGGGAGGGGTGATAGAAGGGAGAGCAGATTGGGGGAGGGGATAATTAGAAGCAAACACTTTTGAGGAGGGATAGGGTCAAAGGAGAGAACAGAATAAATGGGGCAGAATAGGATAGACGGAAATACAGTCATTCTTTCACAATATGACTATTATGGAAGTGTTTTGTATGACTACACATATATAAACCATATCAAATTGCTTGCTTTCTCAATGAGGGTGGGTGGGGAGGGAGAATGGGAGAGAATTTGGAACTCAAAGTTTTAACAATGAATGTTAAAAATTGTTTTTACATGCAACATTTTACATGGGAAATAAGATATACAGGCAATGGGGTAGAGAAATATATCTTACCCTACAGGAAAATAGAAGGGGAAGAGTACAAGGGGGGCAGTGATAGAAGGGAGGGCAGATTGGGGGAAGAGGTATGAAGAATACATGCCATCTTGGGGTGGGGAGAGGGGAGAGATGGGTAGAAAGTCTGGAACTCAAATCTTATGGAAGTAAATGTTGAAAACTAAAAATAAATGAATAAACTGGAAACAAAAAAAGAAAGAATGTAGAACCACAAGATGTAGGACTGTCCTTAATTTACTGCATGACCTTGATCAGTCACTTGATTTCACTGAGCCTCAGTTTTCTCACTTGTAAGTTATGATTTAGACTAAAAGATTTCTAGGGTTTCTTTCAGCTCACATTTTAAAGGGAATAATAATAATCTAGGATATGTCCAGGAAATGTTGATTCATAAAAGAATGGGTTAAAGGAAATGGGCATGTATTCACCTAAAGAAAAAAATGGCTTAATGTGGGATGATTCTTTTTAATATCTGAAGATCTGTCATGTGAAAAAGGCATTAGATTCATCTGTGTAGCTTCTGAGAGAAAAACCAGAAGAATCAATTATTTATCTACTTCATGGTGTCACTGTGAATGAATGAGGTGTTATAAACCTTACAATGCTATATAAACGTAAGTTATTATTGATATTGTTGTTATTGTTGTTATTGTTGTTCTGGCTGTTTTCTAGGAGCCAGATTTCTCCTGAATATAAAGAACTTTGTTTTGTACCCTCAGTGCCTGGCACATGGTTAGCATTTTAAAATGTTGCTTAATAAAGAAGAGTTTTCTAAAGTTTTCATAGTCTATCTTCTAAGTCTATCTTCTGAGCTCCTTATAATTAGATGTATTTAAACAGATGTTATATTAAAGGATGATATGATCATCATTGGTAATCATGACCTTTCCTTTTACAGATAAGGAAATGGGGGCCCAGAGAGATAAAATGATTTGCCCAAAGTCACACAGGTCATAAGTATCAGAGGTGGCATAGATAC